CTGTGTATATATATATATATATATATATATATAACGACCCTGAGATATTTCAGTTCCAATAATGAAGCAAGTGAAGCTATAAAAGGGATCATGCATATTATATATTCGTGTATCAATGGACCTCATGATGTTGATATTTGCATGTTTTTTCATAGAAACTTATCACTAATGTAAGACATTCCAAACCGGTTTATGATTGGAAGTGTGGAGTTCATCAACATTGATTCACAAGTGGTTGATGGTTGTTGAGAAAGTTTATATACCAACTCTCGATCTTTTAATGTCTTGTTTTCTCCTCACGGTTTAACGAAGAGTTCTCGGGAGTAATTGAGAGAGATGGCATGTTCTCTGCAGGGAATCCACAAAAGGTTTTGGCATCTGAAGCTTGGAATTTTGTGAAAAACGTCTCTGTCGGTATGCTTTGCATCTACTGTCTCCTGCCCCTTTTTCTATTTTCTGAGTTTCCGGACTATTTTAAGTTTGATATTTGACATCTTGCTAGATGCAAATTCACATCCTAGAGTCTTGTTAACCCATATCCCGTTATATCGGCCTGACCAAACCTATTGTGGCCCTCGTCGTGGTTCTTCTGTCATCAATCAGGTGATTAGTTTCTCGGTTTCAGGTGTAAATGCAAAGTTTTATAACATAGGGGCTGATGTAATTGAAAACTTTGTTTGTGGACTTATTATGTTTGCTCCTCTTTGACATTCAGCGGATTTGGCGCCATTCTCAAGATCAAGAAGTAATGTAAACTTCTACATTTCCATCTTTTCATACGATTATCGAAACATGCATTATCTTCGCAGAAAAGCCGTTTAATCCGGGCAACTAAACCGATGTTTCCATTCTTGTACTTGACCTTACTACTACGCAGGTACCAGAATTACATCACTGATGAATCATCAAAAAAGTTGCTAAGCTTAATCAAACCTGTAAATTTTTCATCTCTTATCTCTTTCACTTCTTTTTCTTGTCTTGGCGAGCTATTTTTTGGACACAAGGCATAAATCTGTTACATAACTTGTTCTGCAGATACTTGTTTTGTCTGGCCATGACCACGACCAGTGTACTGTTACCCACAAGTCGGAAACAGGGTCTATAACCGAGGTAAGGCAACTGCTAACTGAAAAAAAAAACATTGTATATTCATGGCATGTAATCTTTGTTGATATGGTTTTGAATCATACACAGCATACTTTAGGTACTGTAAGTTGGCAGCAAGGAAATTCTTATCCTTCTTTCATGCTGTTATCTGTTCAAAACACACTGTCTCGAAACACATCTGATCTAGAAAACATCGTAAGCACTCAGTTGTGCTTTCTTCCGTGGCAGATATTCATCTACATATGGTAAGTCTTCTTTTTTCTTATGATTTCTGATTCGGGTTCTGTTGATGTTCTGAATCCTAAATCTCTTTGAAATGTTCAGGTACCTTTCTCTGTTCATGTTCACCATTCTTGCTCTCCTCCTCTGGCCAAAACATGGGGTAAGCTTCTTGAGCGATGCAGCAGAGTGCATCGTGAATGTGATGAGATCAATCTTTATAAGCGGTGGAACGAAAGAGAAGAACGAAGATGAGAACTGTGAGTATGAGATGATGTGGGATGCAGAAGGATCCATGCATCTCGTGAAAAAAGTTCGGGAAACTCCCGTTAAACGTCAAAGTGATAAACCCGTGATAGAAAGGTGATGCCATTATGCCATGAATGATCTCACTATCATATCTGGGGAGAAGTTTCCTTAGCTTATGTTTCTTGAAGTCTTTCTTTCGATTTTCCCCAGGGGCAACGCGGTGATGAGATCAGCAGCAAGAAAGAACACCGAGGAGATAGAAATCGTGACGGATCAAAGTGCAAACCCGGGTTCCGATCCTCTGGTGAGATCGGCATCTCAAACGGGCAAATCAAGAACGAAACTTGCGATCCTGAGAGTGATAAGGGCCATCAAGATGGTCACAGTCATTGCAGCACTAAACGTGCCCATTTACATGATGTTGCTGTTCAAGGACTGGATCGAGCAGTAACACTGTGGTCTTGCCGAACCCATGAACGTCAAATCAAGATTTCATCCAATACCCTTTAGGTTATGGTTTCAGAAGATTTTTCAGATTTCTTTTGTAAAACCCAATGAAAGACAGATTGAAAAAGCATGTCCAAGCTCTTCAGAGTGTAGATGAGAACACTGCAGAGTTATGTATTGTCAATCTTTCGTTCCATTGTCTATGATCTTCAAACTAATTAGAATAGTTTCTGGGTTCAGAAAGATTCGTGACATATGCATGATCCAACTCGTTACATGCGCACGTGTGTAAATTGCAGGAGACAGTCGAGGGGACATAAAAGATAAGGTCAAGACAGAAACCAAACTCTAGTGTTCCCAAACCATAGGTTTTTAATTACAAAACCTACATAATACTATTCAGTTCCTTGGATTCTCAAATAGGGTCATAGAAAAAAGGATCAGAAGCATTTTTCTATGAACGTGTTCTATCATTTTACTCTCTGTAATGAAACTGAGATAATAGAACTGCGCACATGGATGTATAATAAATAACTAAATAAAAGAAATGGCGTACTATTCGAAAGGCATGCATATTACAAAGTACAGATTATGTATCTTTGGTCCGTATTATTCAACATAACAATCTGACTTATTATTAAAATATTATTCGATCAAGTAACCACACAAGAGAATCAAAACAAAACAAGGCAACATAACCATCTTATTCTTGATCGATCTAGTCTTATCTAATTCTTATTGTTTTCTCTTTTTTTTTTTCCTTGGGTCAAGCATATTCAACTACACAGGATCCCAAAGCTATGGTTTGAACCCAGAACGTTACGGACACCAAGAACTCGAACCTTAAGTCCATGGATCTTATCATTTTACTGGTACCACCAGGAAAAAAAAACAGAAGACGAAAAAAGACAGTAAAATTACATGAACATCACACAGACAGTAAGCAATCTTTCTCCATATATGCGATCGAAATCAAAACCCTCCGAGGACTTGCAAGGAAACTCCATTTCTTACATGACATCTCCAGTGTCTCTGTCTGTTCAGAAAAAAAGTATCCGCCAGCTCGTTCGGCGGACAAATCTCTCCCTTCGTTTGATGCAAATATCCACAAAACAAAAACCCAAAAGGATTGATTGATTAATCCTTTAGGTAAAAAAAATAACCAAGAAAGGTGTAAAGAACGATTTTGCACCAAGAAGAGAAATTTTCTTAGGCCATGCAGCTAATTAAGAGGACCAAGGAGAGCTTCAGAAGTGTTTCCAGGAGCAAGAGACATGAAAAAGAGGGAGATATATATACATATATATATATGTATGGGGCATGTATCATATATATGTATTGATATATATATATATGACATTATTTGGAGGATATATATGAGGGGGGGGGGAGCCCTAGTCGTCGCCATGGATGTACCAGCAAACGAGCATGGTGGCACAACGTCGCAGGATATAGAGACGGGCACGTTGCTCCTTCACCAAGGAAACACATTTGTTGGTGAAAGAATTGCCCTTTTTGAACTTTCTCTTGAACTCAGCCATGGCAACAACTAGGGTTTTCTTTTTAGTATATTAACGAAAGATTGAAACTTTCTTAAAAAAGGTCGAGATTTGGAAAGAAAAAAACCCTTTTTTTTAAGGTGAGTATATGTATGAGAAGAGGGGTTGTAGTAGTAGTGATGATGATGATGAAGGGATATTGAAGATTAATATATATATATATAAGAGAAATATCAAACATTTTTTTTTGGGGGGGTAATGGATAACCCAAGCGTGGGTAGAAAAAGGTGTCTTGGATATGAAGGAAGCGAGGACAGATGAACATGGTCAGTTTTTTGGTTTCACTGCATTGGGATTTGCATGAGCTGCGTTTTGGATCCTCCAAGGAATTTACGTGTAGCTTCGTGAAATCCTAAATTGGATTCAATTTTATTATTATTATTATTATCATCTTTATAAAAGTATTCTACGTTGATCTCGTTTTATTCACCGACACGTTAGATTAATCGTGGTGGTTGACTTTCTAGTAAAAAATATTTGTTATAACAATAAGGTGGGGGGAGAATACGCAACAAAACAAAATGGGCTCCATTATAAGCATGCTTTGTACAAAAACCATTGGCGAAATAGCTTACATATTTGAATTGGAGGTAAATCTGAAATATATGTATGTATATATTGTGGTATGATCAAAATCACGTCATATATATACATTATATAAAATTTGGACAGAACACAAGATGCGTCTTCCTTCCCGAGCCTAGTAAAATGTGTATATACATTTTATATAATATTTGTATATATATATATATATACCTACACTATGTGTATTTCCCATTAAACAAACTATATGGTATATGTTGGCAAATTGCATTATGCATGTATGTAGGGTAATAAAAAAAGTGATTACGCATCAACTGTCATGTTCTATTGTTGGCCTCACTGTTTGTAAGGACATAAGTTTTTGTAAGAACACAAAATCCTAATTCCCTAGTTTTCATGCATATACATACATATATATATATATATATATATAACAACTCTTTCAATAATTGAGAACATGTACACTTTTTTAATTAATAGCTGGAACCAATGTGAGACCCAAAAGTGTATACCATTATATATATAATAAGTAATTCTAATTGATAGGGACGATAAATTATATGTCCATTCTAGAAGTGAAGATTAAAACCAGAAAATTCTAACTTTTCTGTCTACATATATAACTTCAGGAAAAAAATATTTTCATACAAATAATTTACCATTAAACATTTTACTACTTTTTAACACATTATAATATCTCAATTTTTTAAATATATCTTCTATCTGATTTATTTTAATATCCGATTTCAGATAAAACACATTGAAACTGATTCGCCATTATATATAAATATATATATCATACACTAAAAAATTATTAATTATTCTTATGGTGTTACTATTTTTCCATGTCATCTCGGATCTTTTTCCTCCGTTTTTAAGAGAGAGTTGAGCGATGCAAGAATCTTTAAATATTGTCATATTATATCGAAAAACTCTATTTCTTGTGAGAGAGAGAAAAACTTGTATTAATATACTTCTTCCTTCATTTGCCAACTCATACATTTTTTACGGCTAAATACTTTTAATGGCATCCTCCTTCATATAATGCAAAAGGAACGAATAAAACACGTGACATCTATCAATGATTAGTCTAATCGGTCCACTAAAAGGTCCATCGACATGTAAAAGGTGAAGCGACGGATGCAGAATCAGACCGAGGTATCACATTTTCAACTTGGCAATGATATGACATTACAGGAATTTCATTTGCCAATCAAAACATCTTCCGTGTATATATATATATATATATATATATATAACGACCCTGAGATATTTCAGTTCCAATAATGAAGCAAGTGAAGCTATAAAAGGGATCATGCATATTATATATTCGTGTATCAATGGACCTCATGATGTTGATATTTGCATGTTTTTTCATAGAAACTTATCACTAATGTAAGACATTCCAAACCGCACACATTTATCGAATTCTGATAGCATATTTATATATGATGAAAATCAAATTTGGAAATTGCAAGTGGCATTACGTAATTTAGAGAGTCATGCATATGAAGAAAACTATAGTTGTCAGTTACCATGGCCATGGCGATGATGTAAATGTATGGAAATTTTAAAATAATTTACACGCGCGCGCGCGCGCACATATATATATATATATATGGACTAACACACACGCATATATGTATATGCATAATACATGCATGCACATGCATGGGTACATGTATACAATAATAGGGAAATGTTTTTCTATTATTGATGATTGAAAGAATACATCTTAATATATAGCAAAATATATTAGAATATTCTAGATATAATATCTAGGTTAAATCATAACAATATTAATGATAATATTCTAGGAATAATATCTTCATATATGCCCCTCAAGATGAATCATGATGAATTCAATCTTGTTACATAAAAACTGAAATTATAACTGTGTTAAACGAATCATCTTCCAATACATAATGTATGATAGTGTAGCAGCAGAGCAAGATATAAGAAAAAAAAATAAGTGATTCAAATACGTGGATCTGACGATCGGGGTTTTCCAATCGAAAGGGTTAAAAGTCAGGTTTAAAGATCTCACAACGGCTAAGGTTGACGTCGATAAACGAACGTTGTCGGAAAAAAAAAGTAGCACATCGGTTAGGATCGACAGTGATGAACATTGCCGTCGGGAAAAGAAAAAAAACTAGAAGAAAAAAGGAGCAAAATGAATGCAAGACGATACTCAAAATGATAATACTATTGAATTTAGTATTATATCATCATCTTCATCGTCGTTTTGGGATTCAACCACTATTGTTGATGAAAACAAAAATCTAAAACAAAAACCAAAATTTTGATACCATAATAGAGAAATATTTTTATATTATTGATGATTAAAATAATATATCTTAATATATAGTAAAATATTATAGGAATAATATATTTCTATATGCAAGTGTGTATAAAAAGAAAAAGAAAGAGTAGAGAAGGGGGAAAGGTAGGCATGAAAAAAGGAGAGATGTTGAAAGAAAACAAAGCATTGAGATTGGGATCATGGGAACATGTAACCGGCAAATCTAGCCTCGGTTCCTCCACTTGAGGTTTGTTTGGTTGGATTTCATTTTAATTTTAATTTTTTTTTCTATAATCTCATTTTTAAACTACGTACCAATCTTTTAAATAAAATTATCATTCAAAACAAATAAAACCCAAATCGTGAGCTGTTCTCTATAGGCCCAAGAAACCTTGAATGGGTCTAAAATTCTGCTTATATACATGGACTAATCCAAACTCTTAATCACAATATTTGGTTCCAACAAAAAAATTGAAGGCCCTGCCATAGAAATGCACTCATATATATATATATATAATTATTAATTAGAATATCATCCTAATATAAGTTATAATATTCATATATTTTATATATGTCTCGGCATCCTCAATCGGAACGCGGAAGACTCAAATGTTCAATTTGTTTGTCAAAGGATAATACGATAACTAAATTCTCCACACCAGATTCATAAAATTAATAGTTTTTTTAAAAAATAGCATAAAATTTTTATTTATATAAAGTGAAATGACCTCGTTCGGTTTTGGACAGAACGTATGGCAAGTAACAAGGCCCATGGGCCGAATAAATAATATTACAGTTCTTTTGATTTTGGTTTCATCTCATGAGAGAGAATACCATAATGAACCAAAAGGAATCTCTTAAATCAGTTTTGTTGGTATCAAATCGATTTTTACTTACATATTTTCATTGTCGTAAATAATTGCTTAAAATATTATAATATTACTGTGAAACTTTAATGTATTTGCAAAAGTTTTGCACAATTGAAAGATAGAAGAAAGTATAAGAGACAAAACAGGTCTTCATTTTCACGTATAATTTTCACTCTAGCGCTAAATTTTGTATGAGGGAAAGAAAAAAACACAAATCCGACCGAAGACAAACATTACACGCGCTTACGATTCGCGTAGCCTTTACTCACAACACCGTAATAATAACTATTACTATTGCTATAATTTTTACCGCTCCCTCTACAACTCTTACTCCGCAGTAAATACGACATAGCCCTCCACAACCAGATCTTCCTCCGCCGCGGCGACACGGCGGTCACGTGACCCGCATGTGACCTCGCCGCCGCAGTCAACGAAGTCTTCTTCACCAGCCCCCGAACATCGGGAGCCTTGTAGTTTCTGATCAACGGCCACTTTATCCCGTCGAAGAAGGGGTGACTTTTAATATCCTGCGCACCCCTCTCGCTCCCTAGCCTCTTCATCGGGTCCTTCGCCAGCAGCTTCTCTATCAAGTCCCTCGCCTCTTCCATCCCCGCATCCTCCGTCGCCGCCGAAGGAACCGCCGGGAAAACCGCATTTTTCGCCGGCGATGCTATGTTGCGCAGCGTGTGCTCTTTGGACCTGCCTTTAAACGGCGTCGTTCCGTACAACAGCTCGTAGAGGAAGATCCCGAAGGCCCACCAATCTACACCGCTTCCATGGCCGTTTCCGGAGACGAGCTCCGGCGCGAGATACTCGTGGGTTCCGACACAGGATCTCGAAAATGCCGTCACCGGCTCCGCCGCGAACTCCGACACTAACGCCTCCCTCTCCTCTGTTTCGTACCTCCGAGAACAGAGACAGCAACTCCTCTGTCTCCTCCGAGACGACGTCGCTCTCTGGATCCGGCGCGTACGGAAAGTGGGAACAACCTCGGATTTGAAACAGAGGTCGAAATCCGACAACATGATGTGCCCGTCTTCGCGGAGCAAGACGTTCTCCGGTTTCAGATCCCTGTAAACGATACCAAGCGCGTGAAGGTACTCGAGCGCGACGAGGACCTCCGCAGCGAAGAACCGGACTGGGTGAATCGGTAATCGGTTACCGGGTTGCTTGCGGAGCAAGGAATGGAGGTCGCCGTTGGGGCAGTAATCGATTAGCAGACACGTGTAGTGAGAGGCGTCGATTCGGGCGTAGAGCGTAGGAAGGAAAGGATGGTCGAGCAGGGAGAGGATCTCAGCCTCTGTCTGAACGTGGCCGAGCTTCTTCGCCGTGAGGGAATCGCGGTCGATGACCTTCAAGGCGAAACTGGTTTTGTTCGGACAGTCGCGGAGGTGGCAGAGGAAGACACGTCCGAGGTTGCCGGTACCGAGATGGCGGACGAGCTTCAGGTGACGGAGGTGAAGCCAGCCATCAGAGGAAAGGACAGAGGCGGCTCTGACGGCGATCCAGTGGGGGTCGGTTTTCCGGTGGTGGAGACCGGCAACAGAGGTGGAGACGGTGGTTGTGGCGGTGGAGAGCCTGTCGTTGAAGCTGAGTGTGAGGCTCGAGCGAGCGAGGCTCGAACGTGCACTCGAGGAGGCGAATGTACGGTCGGTGGCTGTCGATGTGAAGCTCAGATCGAGATCGGTGTTTTTCTTTTTTCCCTTTTTTTTTTTTTGTGTTTTTTTTTTTTTTTTTTTTTTTGTGTTCAGGAGTTGTAACTTGAGAGTTATTTATAAAGGGAGGAAGAGGGGAAGGGACGGCGAAGAATGATTAATTAATTAATTAATTAAATTAGTGATTAATGAAGACGGGAAGGTGATGTTTGGGTTTGTGGGTTGACTTGTGTGATGTGGAAAAGTCTGGGAAGAGACAAGCAAATGTGATGGGTTTCAACTTTGACCTTAATGGCCCATTTATTTGATTAATTAAGTTTCCGATATTTAATTAAATCACTGAATTATCGTTAATGTTGGCTTGTGCAGGCACATGGCCGTCTTTCCATCAACAGTTAACAAATTATTTTTCATTATCCAAATAATGTCCTTTTTGTCAATAACAATTAACAATAATTCGTAAAGAAATTAATGAATCATCAAGTAGTTTCCTCCTAACTAATAAAATATTTGGAATTTGGAGTTTGAGTCGCTCTCTTCGCAATCAAAGTTTGTATTTTTATTTTACTTATGTTAATATTGTTAACTGTAATAAATATAAATAGGAGAGAGCAAGGACGCGTCTGTCTGCATGGGATGCTTCACGAGTATGGATCCAGAGGTCATTAAAAAAATACAGCAATAAATTAATTATGTAAAATTAATTTTAAAACATTATATAATTACTAAAACTAGTGATGAAAGTGAGAAAACATTAATGAGGCAATAACGGCTTGTCGGCTGTAACTTACATAAGTGGATATCCGTATAAGGTTATCTTACACCTTACGTGTACATTCATTAACCCCGTTAAATAATTTGCTAATCCATTCTTTTGCTTTATTGATTCGATTAACCTTGTAATGGAATTTATATTTATAATATAAATAAAAATCCCAAAAAAAAATAAAATCACAATAATATAAAAATCAACTCTAAAATTTTCATATTCTCTAATTATTATTATGATGATATAAAATAAAGTTGTCCAACAATAAATACAATTATAATAAGCATCATTATTGATACTAACTATACTAAAAAAAATATGCATAAAAGTCAGGGTTTTACATTACTATAAACCGGGTGCGAGAGGGAATATTACTCAAATAACCCACTTGGGTCGCAGCAATTTCAGTGTACACCACCGAAAAAAAAAAAAAAATTTGCGACCTTATTACGACTAATATATAACTAATATACAACTTATTACGACTAATAAACTACTCTTATTTTAGTTGTATATTAGTTATATATTAGTCGTAATAAGGTCGCAAATTTTTATTTTTTTTTCGGTGGTGTACCCTGAAATTGCTGCGACCCAAGTGGGTTATTAGGGTTAAAACCCCGGTGCGAGATCCATTTAAACCACTAACAATTGGTTGGTTAAAAAAATATTTAAAATTATGAGATTGGAGGGTGATAGTCAAACGAGGCTTGAGAAGAAAATGACGTGAGCATTTATGCATGCATGCAGTTAACTACAGCTACCACTGGTCGGTCCACAGCTATCTATATTCACCACTTATAGGCTCTCTACTTATATAATTATTAATGATGATGATGGCAGTTCGATCTCATGATGATAATTTTTTTTAATTACCACGATCGTACTTCGTGGTATGATGATGATGATGATGATGATGAATATAGACTGTAGCATTCTTCATCACCCATCATCAACTATTCGTCAATTTAATTTATACATATAATAATGTTTTTAAAAGAATATTCTTATCTTATAAACAAGCACAACAATCATTTTCTTGAATCCAATTAAAAACCGCTCGTATTACGATTACCACAAGAACATAAATATATTATCATACATATAATCATATGTCTATGTGAATAAAAGTGTATATGAATGCGTAAACATCAGTCGCAATACATTATCGAAGTCATTAATTTTCATAATGACCTAATTAATTAGTGTCGCTGTTCTTGATATTTATCTCATTTTGAAATTACTTTGTTTAAAAAGAGAAATACAATGAACACGATGAATGCTCGAGATATGTTTATTTTTTCTTTTGGCAGTTGCATTAAATTCACATGTACTAATGCTTCAGAACTTTCGTTGACCGGATCCACATTTATTTTCTGGAGAAAACACGTATTCATTCGTAGGAAAAATATTCGAAATTGAAATCGAAAAGTTCATGAAAACAGCTCATGACATATTAACATATATATATATATATATATATATTATATAACTACGTTAAATTTTATTCCAAGTAAATATATTTTTAGACAAAAATCCCGAAAAGGTAAACTAATAAGAATCGAGAAATATCAAGTTCGAGCTAACGTTTATATTTTTACGAATTTAAAAATAAGACTAAAAATGATAATTACTCAAATGATTCAATGTTTTTTTTTTTTGGTAAAGGTAAATGTATTAATAGATCAAGTTTGTATACAAAACCGGTTGATCACCGGAACTAACCCAAAAGATAAGGATTCCATATCGCAAAATCAAAGACTACAAAAGTGAATCACCGTTTCAGAGAATTTGGATCGTAGATATAACCAGTAACCAATCATCCATCAAGCTCCAAGGGTGTGCCGACGTAGAGGATTTCCGCGAGAGAATAATGTCTCGAGCAAACCTGTCAAGAGTTAACCGAGTCTTTTCAGCAGGGGACGATTCGCCTTTGAAGATTCGAGCATTCCGTTCAGACCATATGAGATAGATGGCTACTTGAAGAATTAGCTTGGCAAATGATTCAATGTTGGCGTGGTTTTGAGGTTAAATGAATAGAAATTTCTGTAAAGACAAACTATTATTTAATTTATGTATATTTATCAAAAAATAAAGATATAAATAAGATATATAAGAAACGATATACACAAAATCTGGAAATTTTCTGAAGATATTTTGCGGAGATATATTAATATTTCGAAACCTGCCGTATCTGATCGTTGTTCGGACGTTGAATGAAACTAGATCCATGTGATGGGCCAATAGTAAGGCTTCTTACCTATGCGGGACCCACGTTCATCAAAAGTCATAATTTGTCTGCCACGTGGTAAACATGGGACCCACCTTTGTCGCTCACCTTCTACTGCTTGTATTAAAACTAATAGCGTCATTAGGCTTATTGCTATTGATTAATTATTCTGCAATAATAGTTCCCAGATACTTCCTATTTCCTAACCAAACATTATTTCTTGATGCCATTATTTTTTTTAATTATTAAATACATCATAATTATAAGCCTTTTGTTTTGCTCGTGATCAGGGTGATACATAGAACTGCTTATAAATAGCGTACACATATATGCTTGCCAATATGTACATAGATAGGTTATGTGTGTGTGTATATATATATATACTGTAATTTTAGGTTGGACTAAACGATTTTTGTCAAATATTTTGGGTTGATAGCAGATAACTGAATTATCAATTGATAAGATAATTCAATGGTTATCTTTTTATTTTCGGTAATTTAATTTAATATACTTGTTTAACTCTATTTTTATTTGAACAAATTTAGAATAAGTTCGAATTTTTTTGTTTTGTTTTTAGCCGAACAATTTGTTTGGTTGCTCGTATCTAAAAATGATATATATAACCAAGTGTGTGTGTGTGTATATATATGTGTGTGTGTGATGTATAATCAAAGTCAATTAATAAACGACATTAATTAGCAGGTATTCAATTAGTTCATCATATTATAATTATTTTATGCTTTTAGAGTTTAAGTTTATGTTGGAGGAAAAATGAAGAAACTCTATGACCAAAGAACAAAATTTGTTTTCTATTTTTTTTCTCTCGGTTTCTTACATACATATATACGAACTAATTATAGTAATAAAGTTGAAGTTGGGTTATAAAAAAAAAATACAAGTTGCGAAATCATGTGACATAATATATAAACCCAGGATCTCAAGGAAAACATGTGGATCTCCCACTAAGTATTGTGTTAACCCATAATTAAACACAATAATCACAAAATAATTAACCACATGGGTAATGGGTTAACACAAGGGTTCGTGCTATTAATGGGGTTTGATTAATTAACCACGTGGGTTAGCGCAGTGTTGGTTTCGTTACCATTTCATCGTATAATTGACAACGATATACGATCATTCGTAATATAATTTTTACATAGTTTTGTAAGTATTTTTATGTAGTATATACATACATTTATAATATATGGTTGATAATATTTTTTTGTTGTAAAGGTATCGTTGATAATAATTGCTTCCACGATGAAAACAAAACCAAAGGTGTGAGACCAACTATTTACATTGAGGAATATTTGGGATTATTAAATTTCAAGTTGGAAATCCAAGCTGGATCATAAGTGGAAAACATTATTTGAAGAATGTGACCCTTCATGTGATGGGTCGTCCGTTGCATGTAGGTACAACCGAAAATAGAAAATTCCACATCTTTTTCATTAGATCATATATGTATATCCACCATGCAATCTATATATTACGCACATGTACATACATATATGTATTAATGTACATGATACATGCCGACAAAAGATTCACATTGTCTTTTTAACGCTAAAACTTTGATATATATATATACATATACAGACAACAAGAAGATACATATATTCTATAATATTCGAAAGTAATGTATGAAAAAATTTCAAATATATGAAATCCTCAGAATTCAACAACTGCTAATCGGTTATAAACTTCCAAATCTTATTTCTTTGTTTTTTTTTATAACCTCGAAAATCAATAATGAAATAGAAAGATCAAACCGTGAAAGAACTAATAATACATATATTTAGTTAAGATCTTTACGTTATATTTTGTTATAAATGTATAAAGACTCTAATCATATTGTAAAACTTACTAAATCGCATTAATATCTTATATTTTATGGGAAACTAAATATTGTACCGTTGATCATATTTACTTTCCTTTAACTATCAGAATGTTCACCGAGAGGTGCATGTATATCTAATGATTTCATCTCGAGGTGCATTGCATCTTTTGCAAATAACTCTTCGCTAATACTCCAATTTAAATTAATTATATTAATTTTGGGAAGTCCTAAGCCTAAACACCACATTTGTGGGGTCAGTCCAAAGCAGTTTCAACAGCTTTTGACATAATCACATGTCTTACAGTGTCATTGAAATAAAAACACAACGGAAACTCCTAATCATTATCTTGGAGCCCACAAAAGCTTATATAAACATACCATATGGGTTCAAATACATGGAACAAAACCCACATTTTGTTTCAATGATTAATTATTTCTATAACTGCAATTAAAAAAATAAATATTCAAACAGCCGTTTTATCTTCAGGAATTAATAGACTTGTTCTTTGTTAGTGACCCTACTACCAACTCCAATCTGAGAAATATAAAACTCTGGGGACCAGAAATGCAACATATTATTTTATAATGTGATATAATATTATATTTGAAACTATATAATTTTTGTGAGAGGAAAAATATTTAAAAAAAAATTGTAGGTGTATGTATTTAACATCAGACAGTATTTTTTTTTTTTTTTTACATTTTAGAAACTGTTGGAAACAAAAGCATTTCATATATAACTAAATATTAGAGATCAATGGAGCAATATAAGAAACTCAATCTTCATATGATATTTAACCAAACACTATATTGTATTTTTATTATTCAAATTAAATATAGCATTTGTAATTGTACAACCTTTATTCTGGATGAAAAATGTTATTTTTGGCGGGAAAGATACTACTATTTTGTTAAGCGGCCCAAAATCAGTTAGTTGGGTTCCGTTCATGGCCCTCTTATATTATTAATGGGCCTTTTGTACATGTTAGGCCCGTTAGCCATAAAAAACCTAAATGATATGGCTTGTGTATAATTATCAATGTCTAATTGTTTGGGTTATTTTCTCAATTAATTAATAATATCGGGGTTGAAATTTAATGGCTCAAAAGTCCAAACCCGAGTGGCTATTATATCAAACCCCCGTCCCTCTCTTTCCTCTCTGTCTCTTTCGAATTTTCTCAAAAGCCCTAACTCCTGCGCAACACCGATTTTATTTTGTAAGTTCGGATTCGGCAATCTCCGTATTCTATCCTTTTGATGTTTCAGTGAACAAGAATCTCGTACCGTGTCTTTCTTTTTCCTTCGCGTTTTGGGTCGCTTGGAAAATCCTGATCGATTTCTGTTCTCGTTGATTGATGACCTAGATTTGGGTAGCATGGATCCACAGCCCGAACCCGTTACGTACATCTGCGGAGGTGAGCTCGATTCGATTCTTCCGCTGGAAGCTTTTGACAAAGCTCAAACCTCTTTGTTGAGTATTGGGACCTTAACACTGTGGAGACAATGTGGAAGATTGTGTTTTTGCATAAGTTTGAGGTTTTCTGTGTTCATAGCGTTTGTTTGGTGAATTGGGTAGTGAGTTTATTGGCTAAATTTGTGGCTTCTTATGAGAAATCAATGGAAGGGCTCTACTGTTTGTACATAAAGGCCTCACCTTTTTCTGAGTCGTATGTTGTTTTGTGTTTTGCAGACTGTGGTCAGGAAAACACCTTGAAGACGGGGGATGTGATCCAATGCCGGGAGTGTGGGTATCGCATCCTGTACAAGAAGCGTACTCGTAGAAGTAAGTCATGCCAGCTCCTCGTTCTTGTTTTTGCAACTGTTGTCCTCTTATGATGCTATGAGATTTCTTGACCGTTCTTTGTCTTTGTGTTTAATGTCGTAATGATGCTGATGGTGTTTAGTTTCGGATTTGATCCTCTTTATCCACAGAACTGTTCTATGACAGCTTTGTTTTGAACTTATGCAAGTAGTTGGCGATTGTCAGTCTGTCTCCTTTTGAAAGCATACATGCTTGCTTGGTTCATCCGTTGCCATTGTCTGAGAAGAAACGGTTTGGCCCGAATCGTATACATTTGCCAACTCTGACGGTTTCTTAGCCGTATTTACATGTGTATATATGCTCATACAGTACAGTTTTATACCGAATTCTATACTTATCTGATATATCTGCATGCATCTGATAAGCCTGATATCTCTCCTCTTTCGTATTAACCCCCCCATTTCATTTATATGCAGTTGTCCAATACGAAGCTCGCTGAGAACAACCACTCCAAAAGGTTACTCAAAAGATGGGTGAAGACTTTTTTTTGTTCTTTTGTCGTCTTTGACCTATCTTTAAGACCGTCATCTGTTTCAGAAATCCTGTCTTGTCTTGGCATGAATTATAGCACAGAGAATTTCCAACTGCCTTCACATTGCTGCCACCAGTAGGCTGGTAGTTTTCCACACCATCTTTTTCCTTGTCCAAATTGTTCGTGCCGATGGTGTTCTGTCCGTTCCATCTGGACGGACCGTCCGTCCAGCACTATGACGAATGGTATGGTATGAGAGCAGATTCGGTCGCAGCACCTGAACACGACTCTCGAGACGAACGTCATCCACATGTACTTCACGTTCAGCCAACACACGAGTCTCGGTCATCTCCGTGACAAGGGCTCCAACGACTCACCCTAAACTCACACAACAGTAACATGTTCCTATGGACCGTATAGAGTTGATGTCAAATGAATCAAAAGTAACTTGTCCGAAATGAAAGAGATCAAACACTTCGACACAAGAAATAAATGAGTAAAAAAATTTAAAACGATAAGTAACTTGTATTTCAAGTCATCTGAGTTCTATTAAACCATCTCATCATCCTCGACCCCAAGTAGTTCAGAGGATGACCGTACATTTGTATTCTTCTAGATTTTAAGAATGACTAATCTTTTCTCAGGTACAAACACTTTGTCCTGTGAGAATACTCTTTTTTTTTTTAACGGATACAAATCACAAATGAACAATAAAATCATTACCTCGTAGGGGATGTTACATTATTATCTATTGGTTGTATCTGAAGATTGTGAAACCAATGGTATGGATTGACCTTCTTCCTCTGGAGATTCAGAAGGAACCCGAGATGCTTCCTTCTTCAACTTGTGGTTGTTGTACGCAGCTACACCCGCTATGGCTGCGTTCACACGATGTCACAATATGGTAAGCAACCTTACTTCGCTCTAGACGTTATTCATCCAATGGCCTAGCCCTACATGTTTGTTCCTACATTTGAATAGAAGATAATCTTTTGTAAGTTAAGGGTACTTACCAATGGCGTAACCGAAAAGATTGATGATGGTGAGTTTTGTGTCGGCGAATAGAAGAGCTGACACCAAGACAACCACCCAATCCTTGACCACACCAGCGACCCGTATAGTGAGAGCACTCGTGTGAGAAATGACGAGGAAGACCGACAAGTTGAGAGCAAATGTACAAAGAGAATTAAGTGTCAGCACTAGAGGTTGAAAGTTCCATGTTCCATTGGCTTCCATCTTCGATTTCTCCAGAAATATCCATGGTATGAACAAGCAAAGCGCACTGTTTTTCAAAACACATGAATACGGTAAAACTTTGGGATTATAAAACTTAAACGAGATGGGTTCTTCATTTTCACGCACCTGCAGGGGCTCACATAGTACATTAGTGATATTGGGTTTAGTTTGATGCCCTTCCTCTTGACCAGAATTTCCATGAAGATTAGCCTCAGGGCTTCTCCGACAACACCACCCATTTGGTAAACCACTCCAATCCAGCTGATGTTGATTTCCCCATAAGAGGCTACTAGAACACCGAAACTTATAACTGACATTATCAAAAGCATTCTGCAGCTCATTACTTCAAGCCCCACAGCTACTCCAAGAACAAACACAGCAACAGGCACTGCAAATATGAATTAAGATTTCATTAGGATTCGCATTGCAGTTCAAAATATAGCATTGAGACCTGAGAAGAAAGGGAACTCAACAATCTTACTGATAGCCTTCAACATTTGAGCAAAGGCAACGGATATGTACAGATAGGCAGTGTTTCCCAACCAGAGAGTCATTGCAAACATTGCACCTATTGGAATAACTGATGTAACATATCTGAGTACATAAAGTGAAACAACTTTTAGATAAAGATACTTTCAACTCAACAATCAAAATGTTTATGAAGTTTCTTTCTTCCTTACATTTCTAGTGTCATTCCTTCCTCAACCTTCATGATCTTTGAGAAGAAGCAAACAAAGAAAAGGAAAATTTAGAATCTTCAAATGATTATTTAAGTGCAAATAGATAGAAAGGTCATCGCCAATGTGATACCTTGAAGACTTTGGTGATGAGAAAGCACAGCACCGAGGAAAAGACCATATGGAGTAAAGTAAGTCCAAGCGGATAAGGGAAGTTTATTTCTTTAGATGACAAAACCCACTGCCGTCGAGGATGTAAAAAATGAGAACATCAGTTGTCAAAAGCAAAATGTAAAAATTGCGAACAATGTCAAAGACAAGAAACCGAATAATCCAATAACCCTCAAACTAGGAATTAAAGTAAGTTTAACAAATTAGAAACCAAAACAAGAATTTCCAGAGCAGTAATAAGCCGGCATAATTGCTCTCACCAATAAGCTGAGCTAAAATGTAATAATTGTCTACTGTGTGGAATGATCATTCTCTGTTAAAAGAAGTTCCCAACAATACGGCTACAACTACGCTATACCCAAAAAAATAATGGATCAATGCATGATCAAGTGTGAAACCTCTTGCACTGGGTTCAGAAAGAAAATGCAGCTTCTTTCGGACACATTACATGCTTTCATCATAATCTGTATGATTGTATCAAGGATCTTTAACCAATCTTGTCCCTTACAGTATATAGAATGTTGAATTCCCTAAGCTATTCGTTGAAATATCAACTCTGTTAGTCAAGTTACCGGAAATAAACAACGTCAGAAACTGAAGCAGCCGCGAATAGAACCAAAGAGCTGGTCTCAAGTTCTCTATAAACATATCATTCTCCATAACATGAACTCTTCAATGCGTAACCCATATCCACCGGTAGCCAAAACCAAACGAAAACTAGCGATCGGTTCCAGGATCGAAATCAAAATAAGGAAATGATAATCTCGAGGACAACAAATCGCGATAAAAACAACAGATCCAGGAACAACACAAGGAGAAAAAGAAACAAGTTAAACCTTATTGAAGAAGATCTGACCGCTAGAGAGGGCGATGTAGAGAAGAATGTAAGCGTAGGTCACGAACTCCTCTCTGAGGAAGCCTCTGCTCCGATCCGCCATTGAATTTGAACACTGGGATCTCCGATTGCCAAAAAGAAAACGTGTCTGTATATATAAATATATTCTTGCGATGCTAATTTTTCTCCTTCGCCGTCGTCGTCGTCAGTGAGAATTCCACTTTCCCGTTTACCTGAGCAAAGTGCAACCGGTGGGATGACAAGGAAAACAGATCAGTGGGTCCCACTTTGAAAATCTTCGTGATGGGCTTTCCGGGTCGGGTATTCGGGTCGTCTCGAGTTTATGGGGTTTTACTCCCCACAAGAAGAGTTAAGCCCAAAAAGAGCCCCCCGAGTTTATGGGCTTTTATCTTCTTCTTTTCAACGGCAATTCTGGTGAGAAGAGAAACTAAACGATAGATTCTTGATTATTAACAAGTAAAAAATGATAATTGTTTAATAGTTGCTTGCACGACTGCACCAACACATTGTATGTACAAGTCTCAATCCTTTGGAACCAATGTATTCAAAGGCCTCCGGTATATTTTGTACATCGGGCTTCTTGACAAAATCCTGCAGATGGGAATGAACTTGAGCTGTCCATGGCGTTCTCGTGGTTGTAGATCTCTCAAAGAAACCACCCGCAAACACATTGTCTCCGAACGGAAAGCTCCTCGTCCTGTATCCAGGTCGCAGAAGAGAGAAACACAGAGATCAAACAGATTCCTGATTCGTTCGTCAAGACTTGTTTCTCCCCATGTTAGAGATTCTGTTCATTTTCTCCTCATAAAACAATCACGAAGATTGAGGATTTTCTCTAATCCAGTCTACTCCGGAACAATCGCATGTTTTCTCAACTTCAGTTTCGTGCAAACATTGTTATAAACCGAACGTGCAAAATCTTAGAATCTGAGGCTTTTGTGCTCGAAACACAGACAAATTCAGCAACTCCCGAATCAATACTGCAGAAGAAGGATCACGTTCTCCATTTCAACAAATCTTCGTATACAAAAGAAGATGAAAAGATCGCCAAATCCGAGCACGAGAACTAACCATTACAGAAAAATTCCTCATCTAATATGGCTAATACGACCAAAAGTCAGGTCCACCGGGCTTCTTCACAAGGATCCGATTGTACTCCGGCCTAGACGTCTGCAAAAAGCCAGCGAAATCTTTTAGAAAAGCTACAAAAGAAGCCGATCCGGCGTAAATCGAAAGAATAAGAAGAAATCGCATAGGATTCCAGTGACAAAATCACCAGATCTTTGAAGATGAGGAAAGTTATTATGATGAAAAGGATGAAGAGGATCTCGAACTCAGCCAAACGGAAGACAGCGAACACTGAGTCAACGAACCGAGTCAGAAGCGAGTCGTCCCTCCTCCTCCCGATCCGATTCGTTCCAGCTCGCCGTCCTATCATTCTCGCGGAAAAAGCAGTTGGAAACTTTACTCTCCTTCCTTGAGCCTTTCCGAGAAAATTCTTTCGGAAGGAGCTCAGAGGCCACTTAAAAGTCTAATGGGCCTTGTTATCGTCAAAGCCCAATGATATCTGTGACTCTAAAAACGACACGTTGTTCACGGAGGTGAAGCACAAACGACGCGACGTTTTAAAACTCCGTTAATAAGATCATAATCACCGTAATTATGTTGATGATTATAGTTACTTAGTTAGTGGAAAATTATAAATAAATATCTAAATAGAAAATATTAACTTATTTTTTATTAATGTGTAAGTTATCATGTTAATAGATATAGCTGGAAAAAAATCAAAAGAAAAACATGGACAAATGACAAATGTAACGCTAACGAAAGTTGCGAAGAAAACCGACAGGTGTTTTAGCGGATTAAAACGGCGGGAAGTTGGTTTGCCAATCACTAGAACGGTGAAACGTCATCGAACACCTCTGCTCAGAGACCGAGCAACCGGAGAAATTCAAATATGGGAATATATCTTCAGTGCATAAGGTTATTTGCTGCATCTCAGCGATTCTCCTGATCCAGCCATGGAAATTATCTGCGGTTCTGGAATAATTTCGAAATGGGTTTTTAGCCCTTTTTCCGAATTTCGACAGGTTATTCATGGTTGATAATCACTCTGTGCCTTGTCGGTGGGGAAAATTTTTTTCCCGGAATTGGCATTGAAGAATCTGATAGGGCTCCATGAATGGTCGGAAGCTTTTCTCTCTTCTACCTTGCAGACAACAGGGTATGCTTTCTCCTCGCTCCATGTTCTTTCGTCTCGAATTCGCCTCAATTTAGTTAGTTTTGATTTGTCATATCGAGTACTGGAGCTTGTTTGTAACTAAGCGATACTGGAAACGTTCGACATGGAATCTAGAGTTTGAAATTCATTGTTGAATACAAAATTAAGAGTCGAATCTGATGTTGCCTAAAACCTAGAATTCGTCGCCTTCGGTGTTAAGATCTTTGGTGAAATTGAAACCCAATTTCCCAGAACTCCTAACAACACGAACCGAAACAGAAAACAAGAAGAACGCAGCGATATAACGAGTTCAGATCTACTCGATGTGAGTAGTCCTACGTCTCGAACCAGGGCTTTGCTAACCCCGAGCTAGAATCCACTAAGAACTGTTCTTGAGAGAGAGATTACAGCAAAATGAGCAAGAAGCAGAAAAATACACCAATTGTTGAAGAAGAAGGTAATCCCTGGGTTTTTTTATAGAAACCCAAGTTGCTAACGGATTCAACAACTTTTCCCAGCTGATCTTATCCATTTGCCTTTAAGCCCTTGTGTTATTAAAACTGTGCTCAAACCCTCTGTATCGTCCCGTGTCTTCAAATTTTCCGAAGAACCTCTGACTCTTACAGAGTCTTACTCAACCTCTTCCTTCAGTCCGAGAAATACACGTCAACCAGCAACAAACTCCACCTTTGACTTGTGTTTCTCTCTCGCCCTCTTCTTCTTTCTTCCTCTCCTTTAGTTCTATCCTTATGGATCTGCTCGCAAAACCCTGGTCGCCCCTCTGATCTAATGTTGATCAGAAAGGCCAAGCAAAGCTAAAGCTTGCTTGAACTTCAACACTGGTACCACTTTAGTTAAGATATCAGCTGGATTCACTGCAGTTGGTATCTTCACTATGTTGAGCTGCCCCTGAGATACAATATCTCTAATAAAATGAAGTCTGACATCGATGTGCTTAGTCCTCTCATGATAAACACCATTTCGTGCAAGACATATAGCACTTTGAGAGTCGCAATGAATCTTAACAGGTTCTTGGTTGAATCCCAGGTCTTGAAGAAGACCTTTCAACCATAATCCTTCCTTTGTTGCTTCTGTCAAAGCCATATATTCCGCTTCTGTGGTAGAAAGCGCCACTACATGCTGTAAGTTCGATTTCCAGCTCACCGTGTTTCCACCCACTGTGAATGCATATCCTGTAACTGACCTTCTTTTGTCGAGGTCTGTAGCATAGTCCGCATCGCAGTAGCCTTCTACTTGGAGATGTTCGTCCCTTGTATATATCAATTTCAGCCCTGTAGTTCCTTTGATGTACTTCAGAATCCATTTAACTCCAGTCCAATGTTCTTTATTTGGGTTGCTCATAAACCTGCTAACAACGCCAATTCCATATGCCAGGTCTGGTCTAGATCCTATCATGACATACATTATGCTACCAACAGCACTTGAATATGGGATCTCGTCCATTTCATTGCTTTGTTGATCCTTTTCAGATGATTTCAACTTGAAGTGAGCTCCGAGAGGTGTGTTTACAGTCTTAGCCTCACTCATGTTGAAACATGTGAGAACCTTTTTCAAGTATTCTTCCTGTGACAATGTCAGGATTCCTCTGTTCCTATCTCTTTCAATAACCATGCCAAGAATCTTCTTAGCATTTCCCAGATCCTTCATGTCAAACTCGCTTCCGAGAATCTGCTTTAGTTTCTGTACTTCTGTTTTATCTCTTGAAGCTACTAACATGTCATCGACATATAGCAACAGATAAGTCCATGTCCCACTTTCTGACCTCCTGTGGTACACACACGCATCATATTTACTCCTATGATAGCCCTTCATGGTTATGAACTCATCAAATCTCCTGTTCCACTGTCTTGGAGATTGCTTCAAGCCATATAAAGATCTTTCCAATTTGCAGACCAATTTCTCTGAACCCCTCTGTATGTATCCTTCTGGTTGGGACATATATATTTCTTCATCAAGTGTTCCATGCAAAAAGGCGGTCTTCACATCTAGTTGTTCCAACTCCATGTCCTGAGATGCCACGACTGATAGTAGAACTCTTATTGATACATGCTTGACTACGGGAGAGAAGATTTCTTGGTAATCCACCCCTTCCTTTTGAGAGTACCCTTTCGCCACTAGTCTAGCTTTGAACCTTGGTTGTTCCACTCCTGGTATTCCTGGCTTTCTCTTGTAGACCCATTTGCATCCTATTTCTTTCTTGTCTTTTGGTTTTTCTGTCAGAATCCAAGTCTTGTTCTTCCTGAGTGATTCCATTTCTTCATTCATTGCAGCCTTCCATTTCTGCCAATCTCGGCTTCTCCTTGCTTCAGCATATGTTCTTGGTTCCTCAATTTCCATAATCTCAGCTGATGTCAAGGCAAATGCTACAACATCTTTATTTTCGGTGTCATCTCTATATCTTGCAGGTGGGACTATGTCTCTTCTTTGTCTGTCACGGGCCAGCTGGTAATCTGTCAGATTTTGTTGATCTCCTGGGGATTCATCTGATGAATCTTCTTCCTCACTTTGGTTTCCTTGAATAGTTCTGTCTGATTCCCCAGGTTGTGTTGAGTCTTCTGTTCTTTGGTCAGCTCCACCTTGCCCCAAGCTTTCTGTGTCCCTTTGATTCTGATCGAGATTCATATGAACAGCTATCTGTTCTTTTCTGGATGCTTGAGGTGATTCCCTTGATTCTGTTCTGCAATTTGGTATTTCCTTATATATCACATCTTCTCTGAAAACCACATCCCTGCTTATACAGCATTTTCTGTCTTCTAGAAGCCATATTCTGTATCCTTTCACTCCTTTTGGATACCCGAGAAATACTCCCTTTTTGGACCTTGGCTCCAGCTTTCCTTGGTTTGAATGAACATAAACCAAGCATCCAAATCTCCTCAAGTAGTGATACTTTGTATCTCTGCCTGTCCAGATTTGTTCTGGAATGTTAAACTCCAGTGCACTCGATGGTGATCTGTTAATGAGATGCACTGCTGTCGAAGTTGCTTCTGCCCAAAAATGTTGCTCAAGACCTGTTTCACTCAAAAAACATCTCACCTTATTCATTATTGTTCTGTTCATTCTTTCCGCTACTCCATTCTGTTGAGGAGTGTAAGTGCATGTCTTGTGTCTTTCTATTCCAGAAGTCTTGCATAGGTTGTCAAACTGGGAATTACAGAACTCGAGTCCATTGTCCGTCCTCAAGAACTTAATTCTCCTACCTGTCTGATTCTCAACCAAAGTTTTCCATTCACAAAAACTCGAGAATGCATTATCTTTTGTTTTCATGAAGTAAACCCAAGTCTTTCTAGAATAATCATCTATCATAGATAGAAAGTATTGAGATTTAGAGAGTGAAGGGGTTACTGTAGGTGCTCCCCATAGGTCTGAGTGTATGTAATCCAGCTTCCCTTTTGTTGTATGTTTCCCTTTGTCGAAGCTCAGTTTATGTGCTTTACCTAAAACACATATTTCACAAAATTTCATTTTGTCAGGGTAAACATTTTTCAGGAGGTTTTTCTTTACCATTAACTCCAGTCCTTTGGAGCTTATATGCCCCATTCTTTGGTGCCACAGTTCAGTCTCGTCTTGCTCAGCTTTGTTGCTTTGAGCTTCTCCTATGACAGTCTCCCCTTGTAGAACGTATAGTCCTCTTTCAAGTGATGCTGTCATAACGACCAGTGATCCTTTGATAACCTTGAGTTTTCCTCCTTGAGATTTGAAGCTGTAGCCCTGCACATCTAGAGAACCCAGTGAGATAAGATTTCTTTTAAGATCTGGTATGTACCTTACCTGATCAAGTTTGATGTATGTTCCATCCATGTTCTTGACGTTTATGGATCCCATTCCATAAACTTCACAAGTCATGTTGTTTCCCATCAGCACTTTCCCACTCCTTTGCATCTTCAAGTCTTCGAACCAATCCTCTCTAGGTGTCATGTGATATGTGCACCCAGAATCCAAGATCCATTGATCCTTAGGATCTTGTTCAGATATGCTCAGGGCCTCTGTTTCCAGGACTGATTCTGTCACTGCTGCTGCTTCACCTGACACAATGCCTCGTTCTTCTAGATGCTTCTTTCGAGATCTACAATCTCTCTTAAAATGTCCCTCCTTCCCGCAGAACCAGCAGCCTGATTCTGTCTTTCCTTTTGATTTTGATCTTGATTTTTTTCTGTTCTTCCCTCCGGAATTATCCCTTTTTTCAGGTCTACCTCGTACTAGTAGACCTTCTCCTGTATTCTTATTCCCTTTTGCTGCAAGTTCCAGTTCTTTGG